CCCAGCAGCCTCTATTTCTTAACCCTGTGTGTCAAGTTCTAGCTGCCAGCTCTTCTTCTACCACTGCTTCAAATTTAAGACTATCCTTATTTCATTATCACTCTCCAAAATTTTCCCTTGAACATGCTCCTGAGCTTCAGCTCAGTTGAGAATGCTGATCAGCTCATAGTTCCTTTTCAGTAAGCTAAGAGCAGCATTGGACAATACAATAGCTATTCACCTTTCTTGGCTGAACACTTGCTGTGCAGGCAGGCAAACTTGCTGTGCAGGCAGGCAAACTCCCAGGAACCTGCCATCATTGCTGAATTTGTATGACTCAGGTATGTACCAGGTCAACAAATCTTCTTGAAAAAGTGTTTTTGTTTTTAACGGATAGGACAAAAAGGAGGGATGAATGGATGGATGGTCAGCATTAATAAAGGAAAGGAACTTTCTAACCAAATATAATTTTGAAAAGACTTGTTATGCTGACATTAGATATAAGATATAAAATTCCTGCCACATCTTGAGAAAATTTCATAGTCTTCTGTTTATTTATAATGTTTTTCAACTGTGACGATTTAAAACCACCAGGACTGTCAAGGCCAAGACATCAGGATTCTTTAGCTGTTTAGTTAGTTGTACAATGCCACTGATGAGAGCAGTGTTCTGCTTCATAATACTACAGAAACAATTGCCTTGTAAAACCTGCAGAATTCTTCTGGTCCAGGTTGCCCTAACAGAGTATCTGTTTAAAATCATGCTGCTAAACTTTAAGAGTAACTCTCCATGAGATGACAGCCACCTTCAGAAAATTTGGGCCACTAGTTTTAGAATACAATTCTAAAGCATAATTACATGGGATTATGTTCCATTTAATCAGTTAAAATAACTTCCAAAACCAATTAAAAGGGTTTGGGAATAAGACAACTGCACCAAGCAATACACTGCATAAACAAAGACACAGAGAATTGTGAGATGTGCATAAATCATTACCTGGTAACTACAAGAGTCATGCAAATTTGATGTGCAGTGAATTATGCATACAATACGTAAATCAGCTGTGGGCTGTCTACTTCTGTAATTTTTTTTTGATGTGACCTTTACTGCTGCCCCAAGTCTCCATCTATTATTTCAGCTAGAACTGTCGTACTGTGGACAACTTCATTCATCTTTCAAGCAGCCATCTGCTTATCTCCCTCTAAAATCAGTAGTAAGTATAATACAATCTGGTTACTGTAGAAAGAACTGTGAATCCATAACACTAAAAACTTGGACAATAGGCAGAACAAAAGACAAACATGAGGAAAAAGAGAGCAAAAGCACAAGCTTTGCATCATGCAAGCATCTTGTTGTGAGGAACCACAACTTAGGGCCAAAATATACATGATGCTTCTCCAGGGTAATTTGATTTAAATCACTAGTTGGTTTAAAAACTAGATTTAAATCATGGTTTTCTACATAATTTGCATGCCTCCCTTACCAGTAGGTAGAGGAACTTCATTAAAACATTTCCAAACTGGGTCTCTTTTATGGCCTGCTGCCATTATAGTTTTTCTCCTCCAGGGAAAGAATAATATGATAAAACTCAGACTATACACAAAAAGAGCCAAAGGCTTGTGGAGTATTCAGCTCAAAAGGTTTCACTTTCATTTTTATTGCTTGCCCCTCCCTCCTCACACTCAGCCTCTTGGGCAGATCTATTTCACTTCCAATCTTCTTCTATTCATTGAATTTTTTGAAACTTAGCACTTAAGAGGTAAGGGGTTGATTCTGTATACGTAGACTTGTAAAGAAACAATGGGATTAAGGTCTTTTTCTCGACTTTGTTTATTTTATAATATTTTTGTTCTGAAGAAGAGGCACGTGATCTTCATACTCAGCTTTGAGAACTGTAAAACCAAGCATCTGTTCTAATATATTCTAGATAGAAAAATTGCCCAATAATCTTACAGAAACCTCTAGAAGAGCATGTCATTGTGAATGGATTAATGGAATTCATTTACCCAAAAGTTTAAACTTTGCTTGAATATACAGCCTCATGCTATATAATTAAAAACTAAGCCTTATTTCATGATGAATAACTTTTGCACTATAATGTATCTTAAACAGAAAAATATCCTTAGATAAATTTTTCCTCAAAAAGCATTTTACTTTAAAAAATCCAATTTAAATAAAAAATCTGATTTTAATAAAAATCAATTTTAAATTTTAAAAATCCATTTTAAGACATTTCTTTTTTAAAAAATCATTGATTATTAGCCATCCCGTGTTTCTCCCACAATTTCAGTCAATATGAGCCAGGTCAGGGGTGGACATTCTGGATTAGGGCTCTGTTATGGTAGAAGTAGGGAGGCTATAATTGTTTTCCTCTGTTGCAGTCCCAATCTGCCTACCTTCCTCTATGGCTGCTATTAGCATCTAGAGGAAATCTAATCCCAGTGCCCTTAACTACAAGACTCCCAACCAGATTGGGACTATAGCAGAGGCAATGAGTTAAAGTCCTCTCCTCCCATGCCCAAATATCTGAGATCCTATTAACTTTTAAAACCCTTTCCAGCAAATACCATTCATATCCACTACAGCACAACAGTCTAAGAATCAGGACCAACATACGTAAAATTGGCAATAGCATCCAGAAGTGTAAGAGGAAAACAGCTCCATACAACAGTGGTGTTATAATAGGGAAAAACACCATGGAAGTTCTCTCAGGAATCATTCAAATCTTTTCAGGTTTTTTTTGTCTTGGCAAATTTTCTTTATATATAACCTTTGTTCTACTAGAAATGTATCTCAATTGATTAGAAAATACTATTTCCCACAGGAACCCCAGTCCTGGAATATTATACTTTAACACTGATATTAAACTCCATTTATTATTTTATGGTTGGCTAGCAGTAATATAGGGAGCATGAACCAACCATTTTATACTTGAGTATAATTCACATACTATGGATCATCTTTATAAGCCTCAGACAGAAAACCTTGACACAAATTATTGAATGTCAGCATTAATCTTACAAGCATTGCATCACTTCTAAATTAAATATGCAGATTCATTAACTTAAAATAAAAATTAAAACATATACAGTCTGAATTAAATTCATGATGCATATGTTTAATGATATAAGGTTAACCCAGTAAAGAGAAAAACTGCTAGCAGTGCCATGTTTGGTCTCCAGTAATGCTCTCCCTGAACAATGGCAAGCAATCATAAAAATATAATGAACATAGCAATTACAAAATGAAAGCCATAGGAGAATGAAACAATGAAAAACTTAATTGTGCAGAGCTTCCATTAATCATCCAAATATGGACTTAGAATGACAGATAACAACATTTTCTGACCTTTATAAAGACTTCAGTATCACTGCATGTAGCTGGTCATATGTTCAAAAAATTGCTACCTCAAAGCAAATAACTTTGAAGCCTCACTGGGTCACCTAAAATAAAACCATACCACACAGGAGGAAACCATGATTCAGCAGTCTTTGCCACGTTTAAGATCTAAGGTCCCATGCCCAGCATCTCCAGTCAAAACATCCAGTCATAACAGTGGCACAGGCCATTTCATGAGATCTTGGAGAGTCACTGCACATAGCAGAATGGGCTAATGGCCTGACGTCATAAGGCAGCTCACACATAGTTTGCTAATCGGACTAGGAACCCTAAGCAGAGATATGTGGTGGAAAATTTTCAAGTTTATCTCTGAAAAATTTTCTATTTCATCAGTTAATTAGTTAAAATAATGCAGGTAAATTGAAAATACAGGATTAGGCAAACTTAGCAGTTTCAAACTTGTAATTGATGTTTTTCAATTTATCATCCTTAGTATTTTTGTGAGAGAATATGTATATATAAATTCATATATACATTGATATAGTGCATACATATCAATGATATACATATTATAAACTGCCCAGAGAGCTTCGGCTGTGGAGCAGTATAGAAATGAAATGAATAAATAAATGTCTCAGAGGAAATGAAACTAATAAGTGGCGATAGAAAAACTGAAGGTGCCCCAACAACTATGGTGGAAGAGAACTGAACTCTATTAAATCAGATGAGTAATTGTCCACAAATCAATAAATACTTCATGGCCAGGGCGACTTATTTTATATTGTTATTTATTTTATATTATTATTTTTATATTGTTATTTTTGTATTTTACTTCATGTTGTGAGCCGCCCCAAGGCTTCGGTGAATGGGGCGGCATAGAAATGTTTTAATAAATAAATAAAATTTAACATAGGAATTCTTTACCTTTGCTGTTTACTAAATACAGTAAAATAAACATGCCAAATTACATCTCTCTGAGGCACATTTCAGCAATATGGTACCCTCCATATGTTTTGGACTGCATCTCCTAGAATTCCTGAACATTAGCCATGTTCACTAAAGCTAATGAGAGCTCAAGTCCAAAACATTTTGAAGGCACCAGGTTGACAAAGGCTGTTCTAGGGTATCAGAAAATTTTCTGAGGCAAACTGAAAATGTTCCTATGCAAATAATTCCATGCAAATGACCCAAATTTTCACTGGAATTTTTTCTGAATTTTTTTATGGTAATTTTCCGAAAACCAATATCATTGATTCTAAAGTGCTGAAAGTGAAGTCCATCCTGAAATAATAATAATAATAATTCCAGTAGTTATGGACACTTTTTCACACAGTCATAATAGTTAAGACTATCCAAAGCCAAGTATCTCTCTGTTACAAACAATTCCACTATATTTTATCTGACAAAAAGCAAAAAACTTGCATTCATTACAATTTAGGTAGCCACTGTGGCAACAACTATCTGTGAGCCCTGTCATTCGTTGTTCAAAATGAATAACAGACATTAAAGTACTGTTTACAAATTAGTGGATCTGATATTTGGAAGCAAGATGAAAAATGGAAGCTCTGCGCATTTATTAATGCATGGCTGGTTAGTTAGATCAACAGTGGACACATTCCCAATACCAAGAATGATATAAAAATAAAATAAAATAGCATAATACTATAAAACATGTAGCTTACTTTGTGCTTTTTCACAGAAGTTTATCTGAAAGCCTAAAGCAAAAAAGATAAGTTCTAGTTCATTTGCTGAAAATTACAGATATCCACAACCTTTAAAATCACATTTCATGTTCATTTTTCAAAAAAACTGATACACCAAATAAAAGGCTTGACATAGGCAAGATAGTGCCAAGGTTATACAGAGAAGGTTCCAATTATCTCAGTGTAGTCAATTTTGAATGCTATTTGGAAAAGAAAGGGTTGTACTATACTGTACAAAACATCAGCAGAGGATCAATTGGGTATCCAGATCTGGTCAACTACAGAGGTTAAATATTAGTTTGTGGTTAACTTAACAAACAGAATGTTTAGAACATATGGAAAATTTTGGTAATAAAGTTCCCATATGATGTCTTCTGCAGTGGTATTCTTCCAGTTATTAAGTAAAAACTTGAAAATGATTGTGTTATGGAAACTTCTCTCCTCAATTTAGAGTTCTACATAAAAATGGGACTGTTTTCCTTGGGTATAATGCACAAGTACTGTTGTCACGACTTTCACAGCTTTATGATTTACATGATCAGAAATATATGTATCTCAGTATAGTTCGACATGGCAGTCATATACAGGCAGATGCTGTTTGTCCAAATTGTATAAATTGTGCAGCTGAAGTCTATTTGCCTAATTTATTTTACATTAATTTAAACTATTTCTATTAATTGTAAAGAACAGCAAGTAAATATCCAAGGTACTGTCATACCAATTTCTCCCACTCAAAATCTTTTTAGCCCCTCTTTCTTCTGATCTATCTTAAGCTTTATCTGCATATTTTAAGGACAGCCAATTTTAAATGAAACAAGAATTTCAGGCTGCTGAATTCTCTGCATAATTCTAATTTCTATCCACATCAAAGAATAATGCAGTCAAAAACACATGAAGCACTAATCATACGCCTCTTCTCATAATATTGCAATGTAGTATATTGGTTTTTGTAGATACAGAACTCAAGTTAGAATAACTTGCTGAGAGCCACCCTGTAGTCCATGGAACTTTAGGATACCTTGATTTGCCAGTTTAGTTTTAACTCTCAGTCCATTAGATTACCTATAATCAAGCAGTCAATTAAGATGATATGCTTACACTAGAAGCAGCAGATAATAAATGGGACCAATGAAAAGAGCAGCCTTCTCTGTTGATTCTTGGGACCTCTGCTATCATAACTCACACCATAATAACAACAACCTGGCTGCAAAAGACTAAGTCTGTCTGATACTCTGTTTCAATAGCCTATTTGAGTATCCAATACTTAGACCAGCCCAATAACATAAAAAACCCTATTGACAGAGCATTACACCAGACTACTGTTATATTTGTAATTTTTTAAAGGATGAAGGAGCAGATAAAACACTCTGCAAATGTTATGAAGTAAAATCAAGTTAACCATATTTAGTTGATAGTGTTGCTTCTGACAGTTAAAAATAATTCCTTGTTCTGACTGGGTTTCCATAACTACCTCATTTACAAAGTTAAAGCAAGCTCATGAAAACACTCAGTTACAAGTTAGAAACAAGGGAGTTGAAATTATATGCAAATCAAAAGGAAAGAATCTACTCTTTGGCATTTAACAACAGCTTGGAAGCACACAGAGCCCAGTCATACAGTTTAAGATTTGCTATCCACTGCTAATCTCCCTGATGTTTAGCATTTTTCTTGAAGGAGAAAAAGGACTCCCAATTATTACACCAGGATTAGACCTAAAAGGTAATGCAGGGAGCAGACATATTTTCTAAACAGCAGAAAAGAACAGAAAGCAATCTTGATTGCATCAAAGTAAAGTAGCTGACAATCTGTCAGAGTCTAACACTCTTACTGTTAGAATTAAGGACCTTTTAGACTTACAGAGAGCAAAAGGTACCTCCCACTAAAAAAATGACACTAGAACAGGATACTTCACCAAATCCAAAGAGAGGAATAAAGCAAGATTCTGCCAATTATGGGGGGGGGGGGGTTTTGGTTTTTTTTTTTTTTTTTTTTTTGCATTTTATGCTATTTTCAAAATTTGGAAAGACTGCAGAATCTGACTCTTCAGACTAAAATAATGAAGAAATAAAAAGAGGGTTTGCTATGAGAAACAGAAACAAGAGGTTAACATAGTAAAAAGACTGATATTAAGTAGCATGATTCAAGAGCTGAAAGGATTTTTGGTTAACTAATTAGACACAACCCAGCATCCAAAATATCAAAATGTTAACAAAGTAGGCAACCTAGCACTCCAGATATTTTAGACTACAACTCCCATCAACAAATAGTCAAGGATTATTGGAATTTTAATCCAAAATATCTGGATGGCATCAGGTTGCCTATCTTTGCTTTAACCAGAAACTTGGAAATAGAGTTAGCTTTAAAAATGACCCCTGGTAAAACTGTGGGTCATAATCTTGCTTCAAGTGCCTACTCCCATATTAGATTTTCAAGCGCTAAATTCTCTACCTAGAAATGCACAGAAACATTTTCCAAGTGATGTAAAAAGCAATATTGAAACATCTAAATCTTGGAGCAGAAATGAAGTCTATCAAATCAATCAATATCCTACGAGTCATTTCAAGAAGTTAATAAGCTCTTCACTTGCTTTAAATTACCTCTCTTCCTATGTGGCCAGTTCATCCACTTTTATTCATGACTGAAAATTTCCTATGCTTGGCTCTCCACCATACATTTCACAAAATTCATACTTGGTGGATGTTGTGGACAGTGAAGGAGGAAAAAGGTATCAGTGAAGCTCAATAATTCCAATGGGACACTCATCATCTTAATACATCAAGGGAATGACTGGATTTATCATTTCCAATATAAACTCTTACCTGACGGAGTCCAGAGATAGAATGAGCTTATCTATTCTTATAATTGTGCATACAGCAAATGATAGAATGAGCTTATCTATTCTTATAATTGTGCATACAGCAAATGAAAGATCTGCAGGAATACTTCCAGTCCTCAGCCACAATTTATGGTTCTGTTCTGAAGATCACAGGATCATACCCACATGGAACTCTCAATCATGCAAATTTCCCCAGTCACTTCAGCAATACTTACAGAAGTACCAGCATATCTTACACACATGGAGTCAGCATAGATCTCCGATTTGTTGGTTCCTTTTTGAACAGAGTCTACAGTGGTAATTTGAAAGATGTTTTTGTATGCAAAATTTTGTATGCAAAAAAACAAAATTTTCTGTACTAAGAAGTTTCCAATTTTATTTATGTTCCTCATCCTAATGCAGCTTGATAAAAGTAATGACCAAAATTTGCTATAGTCTCAGATTTTTCAAAAAATATTAAACACTGTGAAAGCCCTATTCAGTTATATATTAATCAGTTGTAAGTTATATGACCTGCAATAAGAACACATATTTCCTTACAAAATAACCAATGTGTACACATGAAGCTGACTCAGATCAATATTTTAGATAATGGCTAGTATCCAGTTTCCCTTGCCATTGACATATTGGCTTCTGTCAGCAGAACAGTAAAGGGCATGATTTCCCCTCCATTCCTCCATTCCCTTTGGAACCCTACACATGCTCTCTAGGTTTGGGAGGATCCTCTGAGGCAGATTTGGGGTAGGGGGCTGCAAGGGGCAGGAATGTTCTGTTGCATCAAATGGGATTTTGTCCAAATATGTTTCATTACTGATTTCCTTAATTTATTTAGTTTTCATTCATTCTGATTCTTGATCAAATTAGATTATGAGCATCACATGTAAGGATGGAACAGAATATACTAAAATATTTTGCAATTTAAAATATTCAATTTTCTAGCATAGGAAACAGGCAGGAGACAGGATGAAAAACAGCCACTTTATTTTTTCCTGAGGAATAGCAGTTCTGGTCAGCCTGTAATCAGGTAAAATAATTTGCTTATTGAAGACTGGATATTTCTTATATTGTGATTATTTTACAACTGTATTTCTATGATTTACTGGTGTTCCATTGTTGGATCAGCATACTCATTGCAGAGCCAAAATTATGGAGATTGAGAGACCAGGTGCTACAGTAATTAATGTTGGACTGGCGACCTGGGCGATCTGACCTCCACTTGGCCATGAAGCTCACTGGGTGACTTTGGGAGAGTTACTCACTCTCAACCTAACCTGTCTCGGAGTTGAAGGCTGTTGCTGTAAGCACAAATGGGTGCTATGTAAGCTTCTTTGAGTTCCTCACAAAATGAAAACAGCATGACAGAAACACAATGTAATAACAATGTCACTAAACTCTACAGAATGGTTTGGTATAGCATGGCCATATGGTTTTTAGTGCAATGAGCAAGTTTTAAACTCTATCCTACACCACTACTTCAGGCACAAGTGTAATTTGAAAAAACACTTTTCTGACTTAATACTGTAATGAGCCCAAATCCAGCCCTTCAGTGTGGGCTGTTTACTAACATCTAAGGAAACTAACATAAAAAAACCAAGGCCACACAGCTACGTAATCAGAACACAAATGCCACAATAATATATTGAGTTTTTGAGTATAACCACACTGAGGAACTAGTAAAGTTAAATCCAAGGTGTTCACAGTACCGCTTCTGCTACTTGAGAAATAGAAGAATGTATTTCTAACACTCCCTTCTTTTCATGGGATATTACTTGGAAATAATTCTAGGATTAATTTCAACCTACAAACAAACAAAAAGTCTTATACCCTGCTATATACAGCCATACTTTCCAATCCCAGTCTAAAATCACTGGGTAGATGAACAGTCAAGGAATATCAAAATAATGGGAGTACCTTGTTACAGGAGTGTAAAAATGCTTGTTTGATAATTGCTAGGTAATCTAACCATGGCTAAACAGCATCAAGTACATTTTTTCTAGTTACACACAGTAACTCAGTGAGTTTTACACATTTCTGAGTGCTAAATCAAAAACACTATACCGTGACAAAACTGTAGAATGTTTACATGAACATCAGACCTGCACAAGGAACCCCTGGCCTCTCATGTAATTACCTAATCAAGAGTAATGGAACTCTGAATAAAAACAGAATAGCTCACTATACTGGTGTCTTACTTTATCTTGTCAGCTTCAGAGACAAGCCAAGATAAAACTGCCAATGCAGGAAAAGTGGTTTCTAAAATACTGGCCTTGTAATTTTTTAAAAAACAAAACAAAGCAGAAGGCTAATCTCCAATGTCACCTTAGCATTGAAACTTAGTAACATTTACTATTTTAGTGGGGGGGTATATGTCAGTTATTTCAAACATAGCAAAATCCTTATATGGGAAGTATGTTTATGTACGAAATAAGATGTGATAAATAGACTCATACTTGACAATTGCAAGCCCATGTACTCCATTGCATGTATGCATACTGGGAAGTAGCAGTCACAGCTTTGGTGTATACAGTGAACATATGATGCTGCCTTGTATTGAACCAGATCACCAGTCTGTAAAATCAAGTACTGTCTACTCTTCTGAATGGCAGCAGTTTTCCAAAATCCCATGCAGATGTGTAGACATCATTTGAATTAGAGATGCTACGGATTAAACCTCAGAACCTGTGCTTTCTGGTGTAGCTGGTTCCAAAGATGCAGTCCCAGCACTGAAAACACTCTGCCCAAGGTCCAGATGTGATCAGTTGTATTGGGGTGGGGTTAGAGTTATATGATTATGGATTAAAATGTCAGTCTTCACTGTTTTCCCACAGCACCATTCCTGCTTTCAATAGTATAACTGTAATCTCATATGCATTTCACTAAATATACTACTGGTTTTTTTAACTCCCACACATTGAAAGGACTTATAAGTATAGTGATGACTTTAGGTATATTTAAGATATACACTCAGCTCAATATTCTAACATGCTTTTCCTAAAATAGAGATGTTCAAGTCTCCCTCTTCAGAGCTTTTGTAAGTATACAGAAATAGAGAGAGATTCTTGTGGATATAGTCAGAACTATGTGGTGGCAACCCCAAGTTATTTTCTCATAAATGACTTACTCAATATGCACACAAAGATGCTAAGAAAAGGACATCATCCTCCAGCTACATGCCCCATTCATGCATTACTGCAATCCTAGAAACACTGTCCTACTCCCCTTCCTTCACACTCCTCCATGGAGAGAAGCACTCAGGAACCACGCTCTCCATGCATTTCTCATTCAATCTAGAGCACCTGCTGACGTCCAATTTCAGAAAGGAGCAGCCCATATCTGTACGAAGGTATACCACCTCCTACCCCACGTATCCATACAAGGGCCCTCATCCAGCATGCTTTACCTCCGCGATCTCCCCCGCCCCCAGGACAATTACACGCCGTAGGAAACATGCTGTAACCCCTTCCCGACCCTAACGCATGCGTCTTTCTCACACATACCTTGTCAGTCAACCCCACGTCACAGCCCTAGCGAAAGCTCAACTTGCTCTACCTTTGCACTCGCACGCCTTATCTGGCACATTAATTCTGGCTTCTCTCTAGGGATCGCACCCAAGCGATAGAATTCCTGGCACCACCCTCGGGATCGGTCCTCAACCCTACTTTACTCACATTCCCGGAAATCTCCCGCACATCCTTACAGATCACTTGGCTCCAAACCGACAGAAGGCCCAGAGTTTTCTAGAGCTCATCCTCCATCGACTGTTTACACGAACGCGTACCTCTAGATCAACGCACCCCGCGAACGGGCACACACACACCCGCTCGTTCACTGCTCGTGTCGCCCATAACCCCCGCCTCCTCTTGCGACCCTGAACACACCAGGGTGCCCGGTCTCCTAAACACACACCACACCCCTTCACCCCGAATCCGCACGCTGCGAGGCTATTGTCGAACTGGGTCTTCCCTGTTTTGCCGTCGGACTCAGCCTTCTCCGCCTCCTCTTCCCCGGAGCGCGCTCTCAGGCCTATCATCCTCGGGAGAGGCCTGGTCCTCTGCCCAGCTTGGGCGCTCCCTCCAGTCCCTACAGCCAGCCAGACAGGCAAGCAGGCAGGCAGGCAGGCGGCTCGTACAAGGAGGCCGGGGCTGCAGCGCGGCCTAGGGCCAGGTGGGGGGCCCGCTCCGGGCCCGGGTGCCGCTCCCGAGGCGCGCTCCCTTACCCTGCATGCTGCTGACTGTCGTGTGCGCCGCCTGCGAGCCGCCGCCGGAGCCAGCGCCAGGACCGGGGCTGGGAGCCGCCATTGTACAGCGCGCCAGACGCGGAGGGAGGGAGGGAAGGAGGGAGGGAGGGAGAGATGGACGGATGGCGGGAGGGAGGGAGAGAGGAGGGAGGCTGCAATGCAGCAGAAGCAGCGCAGCGGACCGACCCCCTCCCCGTCCCGCGCGCCCGCCGGCCCGCCCGCCCGCGGCTCCTCGCTCGCTCGCTCCCGCCTCAGCGCCAGGCAGCTGGCGGGACACCCGGAGCCCCGACCCGGGACAACAGGCGCCAGCCTCCCTGGCCCCGACCGCCCCACACCACCGCCAGGCTCCCTCTCCGAGCTGGCGGAGTTCCGTCTCCCTCCGTCGTTCCCTCCCACCCTCACGGCATAAGTGTAACCCCTCCCAGGCAGCGGGCGGAACGGATGATGCCTCCGACTTCTTCGCTCAAAAAGACAAGCAAGGGAGGGACGGCCGAAGGAAGGGAGGGAGGAAGGAAGGGAAAAGAGCCGTGCCGGGGTGGGGGGGGCACAAGCCCCCCGAAGTTTCCACCCCCGAACTGGGTGTCCTGTTAAACTAGCAGGAATGTTTAGTCTCGAGTATGCTGTGTACCCTCCCGTGCGGTATCTAAGCTGGGTGAACACGTTTAATCTAAGAACCAGGCTCTGCTTTCCTCAAATTGGATAGTAAGTTCCGTTTAAGCTATGCATTGGTGTGAGCATAAAAGCTCCCCTCCAGCATCTTTCTGTGAGCAGGTTGAGGATCTTACCTTGGATGTTGCTCCATCATCATTTTGTAACAGCTCAGTGTACAACGTGGCTTGCGATCGTTTGTTTGGGATGGACTGTATGGGGTAGATTAACATAAGAGAAAGACAAAATGTGGTTGCTTGATAGAAATTAGTAAGATGGACCTTGCTACCAAGTCAGAACATGTTTGGTTCCCCTTGGTTAGAGACCAGGCCTATTACCATCATTGAGCATAAACCAAGTGTGGCCTAAAATACAGTCAGCACTCAGTCTGGGTAGCATATTACAGGAGGGAATTTTTAATAGTCATCGGATGATATTTTAAGAAAACCTCTCCATTATTTGTATTTTCACAGGAGGAAACTCCTCAGAAGCAAAGCTCCAACTTCCCCTTCCCATACTTAGTGCTGGTATTAAAAGAGCAAAAGTAAAGGACTGCTAATAAAATACACATAATTCCAAAGATAAGAGAAAGGGTGAGAGAGAAGCAACCTCTAGCTCCACTGTAATTCTAGTGCTGCTAGCATTCCCCAGAACACAATACAAAACCCACTGGTATAGGGGGGAAGAGTTTGCACTCCGATGGGTAGCTTCCACATGTATCTGCATAAATTTTGATTTATTTCTCTTAAAACACTTATACCTCAATTTGGGAACTCAAGGTGGTTAACAGCAGGATTTTGTTTAAAAGAGCCTTACAATTTAGAAAAAGTCCAGTTAAATGTTAAGCACAAAAACAACAGCAAAATTATAATAGCAGTAAAAATATTGAATATATTCACAAGACAGAGACAGAAGAAGAGAGTCTGTATACGTATATGACAAACCAAATGCCCTCCAAAACAAGGAAAATCTTCAACTGTTTCCAGAATATCAGTGAGGAGGGGAGATAGGCCTTACTTGGTAAGGAATTGCACAGCCACTGAAAAATCACTCTGCCCATACAGTGAAGTTTCTACCAGTTGCACCTTCCCAATATATGTACACTTAATTAAGCAGCCATGCATGATGAATTCCTATCAGGTGCGTATGTTTTTCCTCACATGGATAAAATACCATATGTGCAATAGCCCTTAGGCTGCAATTCTAAGCACACTTCATAAGGAGCAAGCCCCAGTAATTAGTTGCTTACTTCTGAGTAAATATGCTTAGGAATGTACTTCAGATTTTAACCTTTTGTACTTTATGCGCACTCTGTCATCTAATGCAGAACTACTTTATTATTAATACCAGTCCTTGTATATCAAAAGACTAAAGTGCCAGGGTCCAATATATTCACTGCTGTTTTATATTTTATCTGTACAAAGGTTAAAAATATTGTGGTTCTTCTAGTAAATTTGAAAAATAAATATAACAAAAAGGATAAAGTTCCTAGCTCCCAAGACTTCTCCACTTTTGGCACTGTCACAAAGTATTGATGGACACTTTTACTTCCTGAAAAACAAATGCATCTTAAGTTTTAAGACATTAACAGTTTAAACTCTTGGTAAAGACAGGCACAATGTCAGAAACTGAAGTAGACAACCATCTAACCGAACTCTGTTTCCCGAAATAAGGGCAATCTATACTTAATTATTCTTTAGAAATAATTCTTAAGGTTTTTTGATCCGAGCAAGCATCTGACCTTCCAGGGTAAGGAATATTACTGGACTGATCCCTTGTTTTTAAATGGCTTTTATCTGCTGTGTCTGTCTTTATTGTGTTGTTTACATTTTATGGGAGATGTTGTAGTTTGATTCTAATTTGTAAGTTGCCTAGATCATTGTGTCTCTATTGAAAAAGCAAGGTGTAAGTCCCCTTAAATCAATATGCCAATAAAGATCTACCTGTTCCCTGAAAACTTCCATGAAAAAGGATTCCTTCGGGTCTTTCTGGGCAGCCTTTTCCAATGCAGCTGCTTTTAGGAAGCACAGGAATCTTTCCTATGATGCAACTGTTAATGGCAATATTCTTATGTAAAATGAGTCATGTGTGCTGTTTGAGAATTTTGTGTTCTGCAATAGTTTCACAAATAGATATACATTATCCCATTTTTTCCTCTTTTTCTCCAAATTAACTTTAATTTTACTATTCTATCCTTTATATTTATCCCTGCTACTTCTTTCATCAAACCTATGGAAGAGTGCTGGTTCTCTGATTCCTTGTTTTCTATTTCTATTATTTTATAGTTCAGTTAACATGACAAGACTCATCACATCCAGTCTTAAAGCCCGTTCCCTGAGTTTCATCATTGCTTTTCTATCATGCCTAATACATATTCCATCTCTGTTCCTTTTCCAAAATATCCTTAGCCATATCTTACCTTCATTTTGCAAATAGGTTAGATTCTCATCTTATTTCTTTGTATAAGCCTACTCTTTCCTCGAATCCCCACATAATAATCCATCCTAACAGTAAACTGTCCTGACTTCAAAGGATAATGAAAAAGCATGTCCCATCAGATATGTGTATGTACTACAGTTCCCAGAATGCTTAACAACAACAACATAAAAAAAGTCTCAGTATACTGCTCCAAGCCAAGATGGGAAATACAGTAAGAAAAAGCTCTAGTTAGAACATAATATTTTTGTTTAGCATATCACTATATCAGAACAGTATCGCACTATAGATGTTTGGTTTTCTTGATCAAGTTCCCACTGTTCTTATTTTGATGTTAATAGAGTAGAAACAGATATATCCGAATATATCTAATCTCCATTAAAGTCATTTCAGCCAGTGGTCATCAAAATATTTTCTGGCAATTTAATTGAATGTTAATGAAGTATTCCACTTTCTTTAATCTGAATCTACTATGCATACATTTCATTAGGAACTAGTACTATAAGATAGAAAGACTCCTTCCTAGTAGCACTTTCCATACACAATGTATACTTTTATAACCCTCTGTAATATATTTCTTTAGTAGTTTGCCTAAACCCTCCAACTCTTCTAGTCTTTGATGGGAAAATGCTCTGATCCTTTGATCAATTTGGTTACCCTTTTCTCCACATAGAGCTCCTACATACATCTTTTTTAATATTGATATATAGAGAGAACTGTACACAGTCTTCCAAATGCAACCACAATATATTTATTTATTATTCATTCACTTGAAATATTTATAGCCTGTCCTCATAAGGCAGCTTCCAACAACAGATAAACACATTTACAATAAAAATAGCAAATGCAAATTAAACCTAAATCCCGGCTTTAAAAAAAAAAAAAAAAAGATTATCATGAGAGAGGTCAAAGTATAAAGACTGAGGCAAGGAGGGTTAAACATTAAAAAGGAAAAAGGGAAGTCTAAGTTTTGGAGACCATTTAAAAACAACCAAAGGGCAGGGGGAACTGACTAGTTCTCTGGGCAGGGAATTCTGTAGATGTAGAGCAACCACCAAAAAGTCTCTCTCTCTTTCTCTGGCAGCTGCCAACAGACTCCGTCCAAGTAGAACAGATCAGAACTTCTGAGGCCCACGGGTGTAAGGAAATCCTTCAGATAAATCCCTTAGGGGATTTCAGGACTAACCTATGCCTGTTTAGACAGAAAAAAGTCCTACAACATGCTGGGAATTGTAGGACATTTTTCTGTCTAAACATGCATAGAATTGTGTCCTGAAAGATCAAAACCAGCAACATCTTGAAATGTAACAAATTGGAAACAAAGCCTGGTAACAAATTGGTATTTTTTTTCAAATTAACATAGCACAAATATTTGTGATCTTGTTTTATGCCATACCTACTTCTCTTCATAAGCTTCCCATTGATGTGAATTTTGCACATATAATACTTTGATTCTGAACATTTAACTTGGATATAAATCCTGTTTATTCTAATAACAAATTTCCAAGTAATGCCTTTTTGTAAACTGCCATGTAAACTGGGTTTAAATAAACCCAAGGTCTGCTTGGGATCAGTATGCATTTTGGATCAGAGTGTGTATTTCTAACTCTGTTGGCAAAATCCGAATTATTTTTTATTTTTTTTATTTATTAAAACATTTTTATGCCGCCCCATTCGCCGAAGCCTCGGGGCGGCTTACAACAATTAGCCATAATCTGGGCAAGAATTTAAAACTGAATGTATAACCAAAGGTTGCAGGAAGTGTCTTTGATTTGATTTGTGTATGAAAAAGTTCATAAGAGCACAAATCATTCTTTTGCTGATGTGCCCAGGTATCATTTGACAGCATTGCTGAAAGCAGAATGATAGTAAATGTGTTGTGATAGGAACGATGGGATTTCTGCTGTGACTGAACACTCTGCAGCGTTCAAGAGCATCTTCACACCATTCTCCATGTGATCCCACGGCCAGAGTCATTTGCCGCTCTTTCAGACCGATTTCAGAGAAATGATTGTAGAAAGGTAAGATGCGATCAGATCAGGTTTAAAAAGCGGAAGCTCTTGCAGATGGGCAAAACCAGGCCGATCTCCCGTCCTGCACCTTCCAGGACCTCACTGGACAGGCAGAAGGTCCCAGAGAGGCCCACCAGCTTAGCTACCTGGAAGCGATGCGCGGCTCGGTGCGCGAGCTGCTGCCCGGAATGGCTGCATTGCCCGGCCTCTTGCTGGAAGGCCGGGCCCGCTGCGCGACTCCCTCTGCCCCGTCGCGGGGGCGCGGGGCGGCGTCTGGGGTTGCAACAGCGAGCGAGGGGCGGGCTCTGCCGGGCGGGCTGCGCCGGAGGCCGAGCGCCTCTGTCGGGGCAGGAGGGCCACGGAGCCGCGCTGGCTGCGACGCCGGGCGGGGAGGGGGAGGGGGAGGGGGAGGAGCGGGCGGCGATGGGGTCCCGTGCGGAGTCCTCGACGGGGACCGGCCAGGGGGCGTCTCCTTTGGCTTCCTCGGGTGTCAGTCGACTGTGGAGACTCAGCAACTTGGCCATGGCCGTCTTCTTCGGGCTAGCCGGGGTCGTTCAGGTCGGGGTCCCGCTGTGCTGGAACAGGGCGGTGTGTGCTTGGGGGGTGTGTCGGGGCGTGCAGAGATGGACCGGGGCGGGGCGGGGCGGGGGGGGGGGGGGTTTCCAGTGGGGAGATAAAGAAGGGAAAGACGAAGCGGGCAGCTGCCGTGGGCCTCGGGAACTGGCCAGGGTCGAGCGTCGATCCGGAGGCAGAGGAGTGCGGGCTGCTGGCTCGTCTCCCGGGCGAAGGCAGCTCCCAGGAAATGTTTACTTACGTGGGTATTCGATGTTGCAGCCACCCAAGAGCAACAGTTTTCTGAATAACATCCAGCGGCTCAGAGCTGTGAGACAGCAGTGCTCGCTCTCGCTCTGTGCGTGCGCGCGCGTGCGTGTGTGCGCGCGCACGCGCATGAGAAAAAGAGAAGCTGTCCTTCCAAGAATTTTAATTCTAGATTATAAAGGTAATTACCATTATGCTGAATTGCACTGAGAAAGGGACACTGAACTCTCTCTGTGCACTGCCCTTTCAGTAATGCACACAGGCTTCAAGACAGCATTCCTTCGTGCCCTCCACCCCGTCCTGCAAAAAAATTCCTTTAATTCCATTTTTTTTAGTCCAGAGAGCCAGTATGGCATAGTGGTTAGAGTGTTGGAGTGAGAGACCAGGAGATCCAGGTTCTAGCCCTTGCTCAGTCATGAAGCTGATTGGGTGGCAGGTCACTCATCCCTAGCCCAACCTACCCCATAGGTTGGTTGTGGCAGGGATAAAATGGAGGACTATGTAAGCTGCCTCGGGTTCCTTGAAAGAGGAAGAAATGTGAGATATAAATGTAATGTGTGTTAGTGTGCTGGTGGTGGGAGTGCTGGACTTGGGACATTGCACTCTAGAACCCACTTGGCCATGAAGCTCATGGGTGATGTTGGGCCAATCACTCCGAATAGTAGAGTTGGAAGGGGCCATGAAGGCCATCGAGTCCAACCCCCTGCTGTTGCAGGACACCACGTTACCCCATCCCACTCAGGTGGCTGTCCAGTCTCTTTTTGAATGTCTCTAGCATGGGAGAGCCCACCACCTCTAAGCAGCTGGTTCCACTGTTGTATTGCTCTGACAGTGAGGAAGCTTTTCCTGATGTCCAGCCTGAATCTGGGTTGCCGCAACTTGAATGGATTATTCCGTGTCCACTCACTCAATCACAACCTCATACAGTTGTAGTCGTGAGGCTACTCATACCATGGTGCTACATAAGCCACTTTGGGTTCCTCATAAGAGGAAAAAATGCAGGATATAAATGCAGTGTAGCAATAATGTATAAATATTAGAGTCTATATGTTAAAACTAGGGCCTGACTGACCTACCAGTCAGTTTGGAATATTTTCATGTTATACACTGTTTTTTGTTGTTAATCAGAGCTTGTGACAAAAGTTTCTTGCCATGATTTTGCAGATCAATGACCCTGATCCAGGACTCTGGATAGTGAGTATAGATTCAGGCACTATGCTTTGCTGGAGAATTTATCATCTCTCTGCAGTGCTGTCTATCCCATTAACTGTAATGGGGCAGTCCCATCATTTCACTGGCCTTGTTCTCTTCTGTAGCATTTTTCCAATGCTTGATCCTGACCTTTTGCCATTTGCTTTGGGTCGTTGCTAATTAACACTGTGTTCCAACAGGCCACTTTACGAATTTGCTTATTTATTTTAATAATTTATTTGCTATTCTTCAACGTAAATGTTTCCAGAGCAGCTGACAAATAGAATAGATAGCACAGCAATATCATGAGCAGATAAAAGGAGCATTAAGAGGCAGAACGATAAAGACTTGGAAAAATAAATAGGTCTGCCCCTCATGCTGGAAAGGCATCAAAGTAGGTTCCAGTACAGAGTAAACCACAGGAAGGGCAGCACAAAAGAAAAGCTCCTTTCCTCCATCACCACTTGCCTCTCTTCAGGTGGCCCTTGGCAGAAGCTCTGCAGAAGATGATCTCAGTGCGGAAGTGGAAATGAATTAGAGGAGGTGACTCTTCTGGTGCCTTGGTTTAGAGGCAAGCACCAGCCCTTGATGCAGAAACTGACCAGGAGACAAACAGATTTGAAACACTACAGTACACCCTCCATTTGCCTGGTTGCAATTAGTAACTAGGTGCTAAACTAACCACGGCTTCTGAGCATTCTTCCACGGCATCTCAATTTATATTTTTAGTAATCTGATTTGGAGGTTGCTGAGCAAGAACAATGATCACACTGTGTCTGACCAGGATGGGGTACCACTGATTGATCAGCTTCGACTGGCTTAAAGCACTCTGTGCCAGAAAGGCCATCTCAGCCTCTAGTACGAAGCTGAATCCGGGAGCACCCTTAAACTGCAAACCTCCTTTGCGTGGTACAAGACCATTTAGAACAGGCTGAATTTTCCAGGCAGATGAATCAGTCTTCAGATTACCAGCAGTAATCTTCCCACCTACATCTCATCAGGCTGTGTAGCTGAGTTGTTATTGGTGATAATATGGACAATTACTTCAGCAGGGGGCCTTATATACACAACTGGCACTTGCTTGTCTTCCAGAGGCTTTCACTACTATTTCTCCCAAGCAAGCATCTCTCCCTCTAGCTTCCCTGTGGTTTCCTTGGGACGTCATACCAGCTCTTTCTGATCAGCTTCTCTTTATTGATCTTGTGATCTGGGCTAGATAGTGTGGCTTATTCTTGCTCCTGCATTCATTTTCTTCAGTGTAGATTTATTGTATCTCACACGTAGGTGGCCTACTCTGTACCTGCAGCTCTCACACTGGTTGTCAGCTTTAATCCGCCAATTGCAGGTACGTATATAGTAGTGTTATCCTAAATAGATTCCCTCTTCTATTCCTTGAAAGAATCTGACCTACATCCCTTTCTTCCCTTCACATAAATGTGGGTTCTGTGTTGAATCATAATAGTCTATTTGTATTCAGCAGCGAAACCACATTCTTACTAATATTTACCATCAATTTAAACTAAAGTACAACCAAGTAAATGAACAGTGAAATGACAAAGTTGCAGCTCAGAAGTCTTCTACTCTTCTAATATTTTGGGTTTTGAAACATCTTTTGTTAGTAGCAGTGCTTTTTGTGCCAATTCCTTTTTATTTTCTTTTTATCCACTCTCTTGCGCTTTCCTAGAGATGCCCAGCACTGGATTTCATTTACATTTTCCTCTTCATATCCATGTTTTTAAAAAGTAATGTTTTGGCATTCATTTTTCCTGTGCCCTGAAATACTGTGCTGTAACATATACAAATTGCCGTATTTCCTTCTATCATAAAAAAGGAAATGTAGAATTGCGTTTCTTTACCATCTTATTCCAAGTCTCTAGAAATCTGTGTCTCTGGAACGTATTATCTTCTGCTATTCTTATTCTCTCTCTCTTTTCATAATGATAAATTATATCATATTCTGACTACTTCCTCTCAGTCTTTACATCCTGACTTACATGAGGACTGGAACTAAGGTGGCATGCTAGTTTATTCTTAGGCTTTCAGAAGCATCATCTCCCATATATGATAACAATTTGCTAAATGTAAATATTTTAGACATTTTATACCATGTGAAGAATCTCTCTTCCTGTTCTCTGATTTGGTGATCACATATTCTCCTACTGTTGTGTGAAGGTCTTTGAAGAGATTGGCCAAGAAAACTAAATTCCATGTGCAAATTCTATTATAATTTGTACTAACAATTCATCGTTTTCTCTAGATAACGTTGTGTGGAAAAGTTTATCTGACCTACATTCAGTTGCTTGTGCTGTGGGTGCAGCAATCTTGGGATACTCTTTGGTTGCTAATGCTCAAAAGAACATCTTGCATGAGGAAGAAGGCCGGTAAGCAGTGAGATCTTTTCTGCAGAATTTCCACATTACCAAACTTTCGCCATAACTAGAGGTTGTCTGGAGATAGTAACTGGATTCACTAGAGATTCTCAGGATAGATCTTAAGAACCAGTACATGGAAGGCAAACAAAAATCCCACGAGCGTGGACTTAACACTTTGAAACCCTTGAGGCAAATCCTCAGAAATCTGGCTGTGTGTTAAGATATTAAATGAAAGAAGCGGAATGTTCCCCATATTTTTCTTTGCTCTGGCCTCACTGAAGCTTCATAGGAGCTGGTATTCTAGAACTGTAACTTCTTATGATATATAAACAGTATTATTCCTCCACAGAAAATAAGGAGGGTAGCTATAAGACGAATGGCCTTTTTGGGAGTGGTACCCTGACTTTAGAACACACTCCCCAGAGGTTTGTTCGGTGCCCTCTTTATATTCTTTCCTGTACCAGGCAAAGACCTTTATAATTCACCAGTATTTTAATTGTTAGTCTGGTTTTAATGGAGGTTTTATATGGTTTAATTGCCTGTAACCTGCCCAGGGAGCTTTGTGGCTGATGAAGTAGGCTAAAAATCCAGTAAATAGATAATCATTCATGTCCTGCCATGAACTCTAGTCAAATTGGTTTGGTATGTTTTCACTTAGCTTCAGGTTTTACCTTGAAAATGCCAGAGCAAAGTCCCAAAATGTGACTGACCCTGCTACAATAGATTGGTACATTTTGATGTGACAAGAATTTACCCTTATTGGATAGTACCTAAGACAAGTAAAATACTCCATCTTCTGACTGGACATGATGCTTCTTGCCTTCTTTAACCAAATTTAGACTACAGTCAACTCCAAATTAATGACAACTCCTTTTCCCTGTAGCAAGATCCCCCCTTTTCTCTTGCTCCATTATATGGATTCTGGATTAGGCTTATTGCTATGGTAGGTGTTAATAAGAACGTGTTTTCTTTTTCCAGATAAAAGATCCTGATACTCTTCATAGTAAATGTATTTCTTTGTGCTCTTTGTTGAGTTTCCTTACATATGATTTATTTTAAGGACATTTATTTGTATGACTTACAGTCTCATTTGTTTAAAATAGGGAGTTATTTGGTCTGCTGATTGTTACAGTCTGGATGAGCCTTTGTCGTAGTTCAGCCAAGTGAGTCTTTTAACCTGTTTATTACATCTTACTACTTGTGATACACGACAGTCAAATGCTTACTCTAGCAAGATACATTGTAAACTTCCCCTCAAGATCACTTGTTTTGTAATGCCTTACTACAAATAGGTGGTCTTGCACAATTGTTATTATTTCTATACCATCCTATAGCCAAAGCTGTCTGGGCAGTTTGCAACAAAGCATAAAATACAATAAAAAACCAGGCAACAATAAAATATCATAACATTGCCATGCAAAATTTAAAGCCAGATTAAAAACAAATGTAAAAAGCTACCATGACGTATACAAATTAAATCATATGATTTGTTTAAGCAGCTAATATAAGACCCAATTCAATATTAAACTAATGAAATGCCCTCTAGATAATAAAGAGGTAATAAAGTTGGCACCGGGTGGACCTCAGTGAGAAGCTTGTTCCATAACTGGGGAGCCACCATGGGAAAGGCGCTTCTCCTTGTTGCCACCAGCTGAGCCTCTATTGGAGATGGCAATCAGAGCAGGCCCAGATCTTGATAGTAGCATCTGAGTAGGTTAAAGTTGGGAGAGGTGCTCTACCAGGTACTGTGGTCCCAAGCTGTGTAGGACTTAATAGGTTAAAACCAGTACTATGAATTGGGCTTGGAAACATATAGGTAGCCAATGTAAGCAGGCCAGAATTGGTGTTATGTGTCTGGATTATCTGTTCCCTGTTATTAATCTGGCTGCCACATTTTGCACAAGCTGCCACTTCTGAATAGTCTTCAAGGGCAGCCCCACACAGATTGCATTGCAGTACTCTACTCTACATTGCCCTCGGTTCCAGGGTATAACAGGGAACCATGTGAGCTCTACTACAGGGAAGGCACTCAGGTGCAACTGTCAACTCCCCAGGTAATCTCCATGTTCCAGAATCAACAAGGGATTTGACAGGACCACCAGCCACATCAGCTGGAAACCACAAGAGCCCCCTGGAAAGCATCTGGATCCATCAGCCTCCAGGAAGAGACCATCTTAATAGGTCTTCCAGCTTTGCAGAGGAGAGAAGTTGCCCTTAGTCTAAATCCCAACAGGTAGCAATCTGACCAAAGGGACTGATTCCAAGTCCCACACCTTCAGATCACTGTCCCCAAGCCTAGCTGAAAAACACAAATCCAGAGTGTGACTTGCTACACACGTTGGACCAATGACATGCTGGGACAGTCCCATGGTCTCATGGAGTCCATGAAACCTGAGCCATCTTGGATAAGGTGTTGTCAGCATCTGTGTTAGCTCCCCCTAGAACCAGCTGCTTGGAGGACAACAGTACTTGACAGGACCACAGTACTACCTGGCTCTTGATGTTAATGTGCGGAGGAGTGAAACTTGTCTGAAAATAGGTGATAAATATACATCCCTCGCTGCCCATATTATGGTGCTTATTATAATCACACATATTAAATAAGTAGGAACTTAGAAACAAGGCTTTGTGCCCGGCTTCATGTAATTTTGAAACAGCAAACTGTAGAGAACGTAAGATGAAAGAAGTGGAGAGCAAGGACCATGACTGAAGGGAATGGCATAAAAACAAATTGCTACTTTTCTTGCAATCTAAATGCCAAAGCAATGGCTGCTTTTTTCTTCTCTACATAAGCATACACACATACACACATGCAAACATACATGTATACATACACACCTGCTGTTGTAAGAGACTCCTGGTTAATACTATAAACATTCTTCCCCTTGCATTATCCAGATAAGACAAGAACTGCATCTCTTTTCAGTACTGATTTGGTGTATCCCTGTTCAATTTGAGTAAGACAAGCAATGCATTTTTTAGCTTTTCTTGTCAAATGTGCATAAACCAAGTTGTAACACACAAATACAATGCACACCACACAGTAACAAATATAAGAACAAAATAAGCCTAGTAAAGAATGTAAGATAGAATAAATAGTCTCTCTTTTTGTAAAATGCACATTATTGTGGGAAAGAAAGCATAATAAGTCTTACTGCTTTTTCAGGGAAAATGACTAAATGGATGAAAATGACTACTACTTAAGCAGCTTTTGGATGTTTATTAACGAAAATGCCAAATTTGTCACACATTTGTATATTAACAATAATGGTGTTTAAAAGGGGAAGATCTATTTTACATTCGTACCATAAGATTTGCAGGTTACAGAACATGCAAGAAGTCTATGTTCGGTGCTGTCAAACCATTTTACCCTTTAAAAAAAATATAAAGCATCATTTACAATTAGAATTCAGCATTTGTATCCTACTTCAAGAGGAGCAATCTTCAGCTTATAGGGGAATGATTGCTTCACAATGAATGAATGAACTTGTTCATATAACCACTTCTGCTCATGCAAGGGGGGGCACTCCATGTTCACCAAGACTCCCTATGCATCCCAGCCTCCAATACCCCTCCAAACTCTCCCTGACATGGCACCAGGACTGGAGTAAGTAGGTAGGATCAGTGAAAATTCAGAGCTTCACCTTGTACAAGCAAGCACTTTCTAGTTCAGCGACAGGATAGGACTGGATATAACCCCTATGGTTTCAAGCAAAATCTCTTTTAAAAAATCAGATGAGGGAATACTTGAGAGCAGGAAAGGGAAACCTGCAGGGTGGCAAACAAGAATGGCCCTCCCGGTGTCCGTTGATAGCCTCACCCCTTAATCACTGGCAGGAGCTTTAAGCTACCATGTTCTGCTTTGTTCTGTGATTTTGTCCTAACCCCCACTGTGGTGCTGCCCCAAAGCGTTTTTCCAAAATTGATTGTGACTCTCAGGTTGAAAGTTTCCCTGCCCCTGCCTCACAGGAAATAATGAGATTTCCTGTGAGGCAGGAAAAGATCTTTTGCAAAGAGATACAAAATCTTTTGCACCAATATAAATAAATTTCTTATTGATCAGGATGTTTAGAAGTTGCTGTATTTTGCTTCTAAGCACACTTTCAAGGTCAAATGTAGTAAGACAGCAACATATTTATCTGACATAAATGACGACTTTCTGTAACATGGTGTCACTATTTTCTGTTCTTGGCTGTGTTCTTGATTAATTTCTATACAGGAAAAACAAACTCCCACAGCTTCAGAGAACACTCACTGTACTTTACATTGGATCCAAGAGTGAATCCTGTCATTGGCTGTGAAGTGAATCTGGTTTTCAATAAAGCCTCTTGCCTTTTGTTTCCTTCCAGAAACTCCCTGGGTGGGGTTCGTGTGGCTATTGCGATTTTTCTTTCCCTCTTCCCCTTTGTAATGTGGCTCTACATCTACATGAATGCAGAGATGCGAGCATCCTGGCCGTCTCACTGTAAAACAGTTATCTAAGATGGCGAAAATGCGCTTATCAGTGTTCCAGTGTACCTTTGGCCCAGGACCAATTCTTCACTGATGCCAGATAACAGGAAGCACCACTGCGACTAAGATCACAGAGTTGGAAGGGACCAGTAAGGCCCTTGGGTCCAACCTCCTGCTCAAGGCATGACTGCAGGGTAAAGAATCATCAACAGATGGCTGTCCAACTACATCTTGGATGCCTCCAGTGTGGGAGAGCTCACCACCTGGCTAGGTAATTGGTTCCATCATCATACTGCTCTTAGTCAGGAAACTTTTCCTGATGTCCAGCTGGAATCTGGCCTTCTGTAATTTGAGCCCATTGTTCTGTATCCTGTGCCCTGGGTTGATTGAGAAGAGATCGTGGCCTTCCCCTCTTTGATAACCTTTCAAGTTTGTTGCCTCAAAGAGTCTAGTTTTAAAGGATCTATTAAATTCCTGAAAACTGGAAATTTGAGAACATTCTCTGGCTTCTGGCCTAGATTTTCAGAGAGAGAATATAACAGCAACAAATGCATGAATTATGGTTGTATTAACTGTGTGTCCTTGATAGGCACAAAGGACTGATTGAATGAAACAGGAGTGTTGCTGTGGGAATAAGCTGAAGCCCAGAGGTGGCTTGAACTTCCTGTGTAAAGGCAGAGATGGCTATGTATGTAAGTAATGTAAATAAAGCTACCGGTAATTTGACAAAGATGTCTCTGAGCAGTCAATCTGGAAGTTGGTGTGAATTTCGTTCCACTCACACACCCCATTTACATTGGTCTATAAAGTATATTGCATTACTTTGCAACCCTCAGGACTGTAACAGAAGGTTACACTAGATGTAGTCTCCATTACATAGTTATAAATGAGTATCTGATCCACTGGATTGGTCAAGGGAGTTTTGATGTAGGGCCAGTGTAGTGTAGTCTCTCATTTAAATGATAGACCACAGAAGCAGCTTTGATGTACAACTGAACCATATCGAGGCAACATAGCAAGATCATGAGTGATTCAAAGTACGTTTGTTGTAACTTAAGAAATGCTTAAGCTCTTAGTGGATATAAAGATAATATGAGAACTCATTTTTAAGAGAACGGACCATGTAAGATGTTTTGAAACTCTCTTTTCTTCCTCTGCTAAGTGGTTAAGTTAGAGTTTTCTAATTTTAATTTTTGTTTTGCCATAACTGAAAACCTGTTTGGTGACTGTGTGAAAAAATAGTATTTGTCACTGGAGTTGTTCTTCTCCAGAGAAACCTACCATTGAATTTTAAGGGGGCAACCAAGGTACAGTTCCATACTGAATTTCACATACTGATTCAACTGAATAGCCAGTTCTTCACCTGCAGTATACCAAAGCTGAAAGTTATGATAATTAAAACTATATCACATTAAGCTCAACCCTCAAATAAAAATTCTCAGCTACTTTAATTTCAAGTTTGCAGATATAACAGTAATTGATTACCTTCCACTCTTCACATCACTGAACAGAGCTGACAATTAAGTTTGCTCGCAAGGCCTACATTTGAAAGCTCTGTTCTAGGCCTGTATCATGTACTGCAATAAGCTTCAAACAAAAAGTTATTGCAGCACAACCCATAGTGTGTTACTTTGTATTGGGGCCCATTTCTTTCTTTATGGATTTATATGCTGCCTGTCAAAACAAATGTTGAAACCAATGCTTTAAAACATTTTAACTAAAAAAAATTGTGTAATTCAATCCCTAGCCAAACAATAAAACCTATTACAATTCAAAAGAGAGAGCAGTTATTATCTTTGAAATGCATCTCTCGATCTGGAACTCTTCCTCTTCCTTTTAATACCATTCTGTCATTATAGACATATATACTTCCAAAAGCTTGACTCTCTGGAGGAGTTTCTATGATCCCTTCAAGAGTAAGATGATGGACTCCATGAGAATCCAAACAGTAGCCACCATAATGCAGGTGGCCTGCGAGAAAGCACACCACAGATTTATGTGAGTGGATCACGGAGAGGGCATCTTTATAATTCCAAGCAAGGCAGATGCTGTTTGTAGAATTCGGATGAATGGGTAGGTGCCCTGCAAAAGAAGAAAGACTCAAAGCAACAACTGTCACTGAATTCTATGGTTGCATCAAGTTCCACAGAATCTGGCAGTTTCTATAGAAAATGGCTGTACTGCCATATACCAGGATTTAGTTTACTCTGATTTTGGAGCCAGTTGTGGGAAAGTGGTTATGAAATGGAAGTGCTAAATTTAAATTTTAGGCCATTGATGACTAAGTAGCCTTTGGAAAGCCACATTGCTTATGTTCAGTCTTTAATGTGGGGATGATAATCCTGGAATACCTTTCAGGATTGGATTAATACATTTAATAGTAAATATTCGGATGCTTAGGAAAGTGTTCCTTACAGGAACTGAAATTTAAATAAATCTACCTATACCAATACACACATGTTCCCTGGTATATAGTAATAAATAGTAAGGAATACTTGCTCATGAATGCACATATTACGTATTGATTTATTCTTCTAGCCATTCAGGCATCTTGGTGGGTAGAAGATGTGCTGTTGCCTTTACCTACTTCTTCCTCTGGTACTTTTCTTTGAGGGAAACAGTTCAAGCACATTTCAGGGCTTGAAAGAACTGAATGAATGCAGAACTGAACAGTGCTTCTCTCAGTCATGCATTCATGAAGCTGATACAGACATGGATGAAGGGTTTTTCCTTCTTATGCAGAAGATCTAAGCCCTGCTTTTCAATTGTATGATTTTCAAACCAGCTTACAACAGTTTGCAGTATCCAAGAAAAAAATGGACACACAACGCATCATCGCTTAGTCTCTAAAATGACCGGTGCCAGAACAGAGTTCCCATCAACTCTTTGGTCCCAGGGCAACCAGCACTAGGAGCCATCTGTTCTTTCTGGCAAAGTGGAGGAAAACAAGCTTTCTGCAGTTACTTCTTGAATCGATGGATGGAGTTCAGCTGGTCTCTCCTTTGTTGTGAAGTTCTTCCCAGGAAGCAAGGGGCATAGACTTTTGAGGGGTCCTTAATTTTCTGGTTTATAGATAGGGCCAGGATGATCTTTATCAAAAGTAAAGTATCGTGAGCAAAATTTACTACCTGACTTTTGGTATTCATCAGCTACTGAGGGGACAATAATCTCCTGATTGTTACCTCTCTAATTCTGATGGGACCAACAAATCTTTCACTGAGGCATTTTGTTTCAATAGTAATTATGCCATTTGTGTTCTAGAGACTTTGCATTACAGAAGTGTACAGGAACTTGATCCACCTGCCCTTTCATCAAAAGCCATTTTCATTCGCTCCAGAATCTTCATCTATATACTGTACCTAAGAGAGGGTTTATTTTTAAGAGATGACTGCATACCAAGTTTAATTCATGATGCAACTAGCTGCGTGGCTAAGCAATCACCTAATTCCTTAGTTGTATAGCAAGATCCATTTTTAGTATACATGTAGTAGCTTTTTCCATACATCAACTCATCCCAAATGTGGAACTGACCCATATAATAGCAAAAACAAATTGCTTTCCTGGGTAAACTGATCTGAGTTCACTTGAAGGACAAATTTTGCTGGCATGGAGGAGATTTGAAACATGACAATTACATATTAGAATTGTAAAAATAGGCTCTCGTAGATTGAGGTCATTTATACTTTTCAAAACATAATTTAAGAATTTTTTACCCCATTTTCCCTCCAAGGACATACAAACATAAAGATGATAAAAACATGGGCAGGTTAAAAACAGAAGTAAACCGTTAAAAGTAATTGACATGCATCCAAAGTTATCCTTACCTACAATCACAACTCTCTCTTGTTTTTTATCAGCATATGTAAGAACTTCATCAACCCAGTCCAACTGGTCTTGACTGAATCCTCCATTGAACTGTACAAACTGACACTCGGCAAGCCCTGTCAAAAAAAGAAAGGAAAACCAACCAAAAGCTTCACTAGATAAACCAGTTATGCTCTGGTTCCAAATGTGCTCTTTCTGACACATCTGAAACCCAATGTTATTTTCTCATTATTGGAGATTTGAACTTGATCAGCTATTTTAAAAATCTAGTTCATAAACAACCATTTATAGATCAGTTTTAAAAAACGTTTTTGCCTTCCAAAAATAATAGACATTGGAGTTCTTTAGAATGAGGAAAAACTAGGCCTCACTTGTGATTATTTCTACACATCTTGCTGTCATATTCCACCTCATGATTTCTGCTTTTGCTTTCTTGCATAAAAAGTTAAGGTTTATCTTTTTAAAAATCCATATACATTTTATGAGAAACAGAAGGATTGTTATGAATAGATGTATCGCCTTGGCTGATTATGCCATAGCTTGGAGCATGACTTAGTGTGGAAACCCCAAATGATGTCTTCAGGCAGGTAAAATGGCTAGAGATAATACAAAGCACTAAATATGGAAGTAGGTTGAATCAGAACTTACAAACCGATTAGCATGAGGTCTTCAGAGTAAGCTAATTTCATAATTGTGTGTTAAAGTACTGCTACCTTTTACCATCAAGGGTTCATATTTGCCTCATAGGCTGAGAAGAAGGGATGGAGGAGTAAACTTGGTTATTCAACATTTCCAGGATGTGCTATTAAAAATGCTTGACAATATTTTTCAGTCATTTTAGCAGTGTAAGAATCCCATTGTGGTTTTTAATTATATTACACTCTAGAACTGTGATTTTCATGGTTTTTATTGGAAGAATTTCAGTACTGAGCCAGGGATCACATCCTAGGACAGACATTTTGCCGTATGGCCTGCAATATATAATTAGATTGCCTTTGGTGGCAATGAGGAGAGGCACAACCCTGTAACTGTTCACTATAATGGAAATTGGTACATACACGTAAAAAGGTACAATTGTACTAATCCTGCACAGGGGCATGGTGCCCAAAACGCTCCCTCTCTCTCTTCCTGCCAGTCACCCTTGCAGATACTTCAGTGTAAGCCAGCAGTGCAACCTCCATTCACAGGAGGTAGTAGCCATCTTTGAAGAAGCACAACATAGTCCACACAGTCTTCGCTTCTCCAGAGTATCTGGATAAAAGTTATATCCAGTAGAATTTTAAAGCAGTTCCTTTTAAATCTGCATGTTTTTATAAACTACTATCAGGTTAAAGCTCACACTGATGTCTATAGGCAGCAAAATAAGTTACAGATCTGGTGGCTGCTGGTGCCGTCATGGCAGAAAAACATGGCTCCAAGGCACAGATACTTATGGCTTTTCATTATTTTTTACAAGGGATCCCCACCTCAAATCACAGACCGGTACTACATAAATATATGGCTTCTATGAAAATATCCTATGTGAATATAATGAGGACTATGCTTTGGATTCCTTTTCTGCATGTTGTGGAGTGGTGGCGGCAAGCATCAATTTGAAACTGCCAGTGCAAGTTTTTAATTTGTTGGTAATTCTGTACTTTCTAACGCTTTGATGACTGCTATAATGTGTCATTTGGGTCTCAGTGTGGTTGAAAACATGCAGTAAACAGATGCCTTGAAGCCTTTAGCAGCAAGTGTTCACCATGCATCTCCATTCCATCCATTACTGGGCTTTGCTGTAAAAAATGGTGGTCAAATAATAACCAGTTTTTCCCATAACAAAACAGACCCAAATAACTTAGAGAACCTGTAATTCGCACCCAGGAAACAATGGAACTTTTCCACATCTCATATTTAACCATATTTGGGTGGAGTAGTAAAATTACTTCCTCTTATTGCAAATGTGAATAAATGTTACTCTCTGGGAAGCTGTTATACCTGTGCAAACATGCATACAGATAGTCACAAAGCGTACCTTGTGTACATCAATACATTAAACACTTTTAATGACCCTGAGGCTGAAAGCTTTCTCCAATTTAGGGACTACAAAAATGCCATAATGATGTAGCTTTACCCACTGCCTAGCTTAACATTCTTTGCAGAAAACCAGCCATTCAAAAGTGAACACTCTTTGGATCACATCCTCCAATTCATACAGGTCACAGGAATACAGGGCAGACATGTTCCTTTTCATGAATGGCAAGTCCCTCTGTTTAGCACAAGGCCAGATGTTACCTTAAGTATGAATCTAGAAATATGAAATAGCCAAGCTCAGCACAATACAGTACCTAGTGGACTATTCAGGTTCTCATTTTTGTTTTTTTCTTGCAGTAGATGTAGGGATTCTTGATACTTTTTGGTAGACTTGTCCCTCCCCAGAATACTTAAATCATAAGTATCAAGGAGAATGAATCGAAATTTAGACATTGGGCAAAACTGATATGCATAATAAAATTCTGCAGGGGTGATTTTAGTGGAGCTCTGATCTCTATTAGAATTGCTAAGTGATGTCTGGTCTTCTAAGTACTTTGTGTTCAGTGCTGACTGTACTAGATAATCTCTGCTGAAGTTGTAGAATTCATGGTTGCCCCATATATGATGCACTGGGACTCTAAGCTTCTTAAATTCCTTCATGACTGTTTCCAAAGCACTCTCTGACATGTTATGAGGAGCATTGCAACCATCAATGATGTCTCCAAGCTGCAAAACAAACTGGACCGCAGATCCATTCCAGTTTTCAACTGCATTCTGGAGGTGGCGTAGGCTATGTTTATAGTATCTCTTCTGTATTCTGTAGAAATCGTAGCCGTCCTCTAGATCAGCATACTGAATATCTGCTATGACTCCAAAGGAGAAGAGCGCCTCAGAAGTTGCCATTGTTCTTTTATCTGTAATTGCCCAAATGTCTTGCCAAAATCTAGCACAAGAGGAAAACAAGATTGGATTTTGTTCAAATACTAGAACCAGTGAAACAAAGATGCATATTAATGGATAAAAATAAATAATACAAATATAATTTGGAGGGGCATTACTAGTCTGATGAGCTATCTCAGAGAATACAGTGCAGTATAGGGAACAACTATGATTTAAGTTTGCAATCCTATATACACTTACCCTGGATTAGGAGGAAGCCTTATTTGTATAGGAATAGGTAGCACAGGTACCAGTCTCTAAAGCCCTACTTGAGAGTAGACCTACCATCATCAAGGTGAAATCTAGCCTACCTAATGGCAGCGGTGAGCTAACTTGAATTAGGTCTCAAAGCATTCTGGCTGATTAAGCATATATCTAAATCATTTAACAAGCATGGCCAGGAAGTCTCTATTGCAACCGATTCCCAGAAGGGAAGGTAATAATGATACTAAACTGCCTCAATCCTGCCAGCTCTACACGGAAATATAATATATAGCGCAATTGTATGCATGTCTACTCGGAAGTAAAGCTACTGATTTCACTTAGATTTAGGCTGTTCTCGCTTAACAACCTTGCACGATGCAGGAACCTTTTCCACTGCCCCCAGACCCGGGCGCAATTCAGCTCTTGTCCCCTGCAGGATGGAGCGCCGGCTAAGTTGACGGATCGTCGCTCTTTCGCAGGTGCAACGCAGTTGGCGAGAATTTAAATCTGTATTTCTGCAAATGAGCTACCCATGTACATATTTCCGTAATCTTCCTTTGGGCTGCCAAGCCCTGCCCTCTCGGGGAGGGGGACTGGAGAATTCACACATCGTTACTATGGAAACGAGAACCTTTCCCCCACCCCTTACTCACCCCGCTTTAAGGAGATAGTGCCGGAAAAAATATATTTTCTGATTTAAAAAAAACCTTCCTTGAACGTCATTTCATTTCCGGATTGATTTTCCACGCCCCTCTCTCCCTCCGCTATAGAGGAATCTAGTTAATAATAAACTCAAGGTTGGGGGATGCTGGGAATTCTAGGCTTTTTTTCCCTGTCCAAACTAGCATCGGATCGTGTTTCAACGCAGTTATCCTGGAGTAAACTTTCATGGATTCACTTCACCAAATGAACGAAGCATTATTGACCTTTTCAGGTTTATATGCAGTACCTGAGGGGTGTAAGAGGGAGTAGGAATAGAGATCAGAAGAAAATTACATTTCTCGGCTACCCCTATATGTGCTGCTTGCACAGCAGACACTTTCGACAATGCTCCATGCATTTGACAAAATAGACTATTATCCACGGAAGGTTAAATCAGAATCAGCGTATTCGTCCTTTAAAAGCTATAAGACTCTGTAGTTTTTGCAAAAACGGACCAATAGGGCTACCTTTGGTATCTAATATCTAATCAGAAGTAAGCTCCACTGAGTTTTATGGAATTTACTCCCTGATAAGCGTGTACAGAATTGCAAGCTTAAAAGTCCAAAGGTGGAACCATGCGCCAATCTTAAGAGGCACAGTCTACTTGGCTGAAGACAAATCTTCCTGGTTCCTTGCGACACCAATTCTCTCCGGCATTGGAGGGAAAAGCTGCCGGTAGGCGACGGTCGAGAAAATCAAATCATGCCATGACTGGGCAGCACCGATTCCATTCGGAACCAAAAGGTCGTAGTAAAAGACAGGAGGATATGCTCTCTCTAGTTCAGATAGTTATTGCCTTGCAAATGCCACTGGTGCGTGAAAGACTGTGGCTGGGGGGGGGGGGGTGCTTCTGACAACCCCGCAGTGTAGTCCGCCGTTAATATCGCAGGTTTCGGTTGAATTTCCTGCCAAAAATTCCTATACAAAATACGCTTCAATATACAGCAGGCATCGTTTTGTTTAAACGGACTAATCAAACTGCCCAACTCCCATTTCCCCGACTTTCATGCAGTGAAATTACACTTATTCTATTTTAGCGTGTATAATATTTTAACTAACTAAATTAATCGATTACAGAAATTGATGAAAACCCCTTTAATTGATCAGAAGCGTGCTCCACTTAATCGGGCAGCAGTTATTATTTTGGAAAAGAAATATTAGTGACCTTTTCACATTATTTCACATACGTTTCTAAAATGATGCACCTTGCGAACGAGAACAGTATTTATAGGAGAACGCCTCCTACGATACTTGAGCGCATTAACTAATAGCCCCATCAGGGGAGGGCCTGCTCGCAAGTAGCGCGGCGTCACCGAGGCAACGTAATCACAAGTCTCGATCGGGTAACATCCTCTTTTCCCGTTTCCAAGGAAGTCGCTACAAATTCCGGCACGCGTTTTTCCGGTCTGTCCTGAAAAGTGTCCCCTCTCGCTTCCCTTTCGGAATCGTAGATGCTCAGGTGCACACGCTCAAGTCAGGTCTACCTTTCCACCGCGTCTCTCTAACTTCCGCATTTGCAACGGAGCCGCGCGCAGGCGCCAGGCCACGCCCCCGGCCCCGAGGGAGTCTGCGGGAGAGGGCGGGCTCTCTGCCCCGGAAGCTCAACCCCCGCGCCGGGCCCGCCAGTCCCCGGTGGGGTCTGAGACGGAAGGATGGCGGCGGCGTTGCGGCCCTGGCTTCGGCCGCTGGCGCTCTGGGGGCGCGAAGCCTCTTTCCTGCGCTGCACCTGCCGCCGCCGCCGCCAACCTGCTCGGTCCTTGGCTACAGAGTTTTCGGGCAAAAGGCCGCAGGACGGCCCCGGGAAACCTGGGGTGAGTCCATTCAGCTCCGGGAGGGAGGGCTAGAGAGGCGCATCCCGTTCAGGGGCTGCTGCGCGTCGAACCAAAGGGCGGGGAGCGGGCAGGCGCCTTTGCTGCGGCTTCTCGGTTGCAACAGGTTCCGGTGGGAAGCCTATTCGTGTGCGACTAAGGACGGAGAGGAGGGAGGTCGGTCGGGGTCGTGGGTGCGGCTGCCTCGGGACTGAAAGCGGCACTGGACCGAGTCCCCTCTTTTGCATCGTGACTGAAAGGCCGAGCGCGCCGCCCGTATCCAAGGCACGTTCTGCACCTCCGTTGGTGGAAGAGGAGCTCTGGGTGCCCGAACCCTGCTCCAGATGTGGCCTCGGGCGCCTGGGTGTGCGGTGAAGGAAACTGAAGTTCTTGCATGTGAAAATGAAGTCTAGTTTGGGGGGGAGAGGAAGTCGGGTGAACGAATACATGAAAGCGGTTGTGAGGTATTAGCATAGTCAGCAAGCCGTTCATTGCATAAGCGCTTCCTTTTCCTCCTTCTCTTTCCCAGTAGCCTGTAACTTGGAAGAGTCTGGCAATCACCTGTGCAGTTGGAGGAGGACTGCTGGCAGGAATGAAATTCTTTAAGAAAGAGAAAGAAGAAAGTTCGTATCATTTACAGTCATTTGATGTAATCTCTCATTAACACCTTGATGCACTTATCTTTAGTATGTCTTCCATTATGAAGATTTTAATAGCATACTTCATAAGCAAGCTATTGAAGGTTTTTGATTCCAGGAATCCTTTACCACAGTGAGATGAAGCCAAATGTGTCTACCTCTTATACAGTTTCTTTCTGTTGCTTACCTTACCTTTGATTTATTTGGAAAATATATGCAGTTGATGTAAATTCATTCTTTGATTCTTGCTGATGTCCAAGTCTTGTTGAAATTGTGCTCTATGGGTTTTGCTGTTGTATGTAGTAGAGGGTCCTCAAAGAAGTGTTTATTATTTAAACTGCTGAAACAGCCAAAGCATTCTGAAATACAGCCAGAGATCAGCCTAGTTGGATTTGTTTCCTGACAAGGAGACCTGTAGATAAAGACAAAAGGGAGGGTATGTGTTGCAAGGTATAGTCAAAAGCTCCTGGTTGAAGAAGCAGTAAGGAAGATCAAAAGTAATATTAAAATCACAGGAGGCTTTCAAGAGGTTCTGAACAGCTTTGGAGAATTTTACAAGTTGTACAGAGTTTTGCTAAACTTTAAAACAAAAAGGTGCATATTCTGCTTGTTCGCTGAAGTTTGCATGTAGATTACTTGTTCTCAAGAAACAAAGATGGAATGAGCTGTTGTCTGATTTCAGAATTGGAGAAGGAACGGACAAAATCAATTGGAAAGCCATTGTTGGGAGGCCCTTTCTCACTTACTGACCACCAGGGACAGCCCAGGACGGATCGTGATTATCTTGGTCAATGGGTGTTAATCTACTTTGGCTTTACACACTGTCCTGATATTTGCCCAGAAGAATTGGAAAAAATGGTTTTAGCAGTAGATGAAATTGGTAAGTAAACCTTACCAAAACCTGAACTGTCTTTGAAACAACAATTGTTATGTAGAATGTTGCTATTGTGCTACATTTAGGATTTGTTATTCAAGATTTTGTTAATTGGAGAGAGAGCTTTTTCCCTTGCATGGTTCAGCAGTCACCATAAATAACACCTTTATACCACCCTAATGTTGTGTTCAGGGTCGGTCTTCGTTATGTAGAATTACATATCCATAGCCACAAGGAGCTTATAATCTGAAGTAAACAATAGGGAGGATGTGGGCAAACATTATTACATGTATCTAGAATTTGGTTGCAGCTGAAAATGAGGATTAAGGGTATAAGCCATAGGCCATTTAGGAAAATGGGTTTGAGAAGGCTTTTGATGCAAGGAGAAGGGGTGGTACCAAGCCCATGTACAGAAGGGAACTGTATTCATATCTGGTAATGAAAAGGAAGCTGAATTGTTTAATTGGATAGCATCTTTCTATGAGAGTTACATCCATGCTGTAGAAATTTAAATTTACCTTTGGCACTCCATAGCACACAGTTTGCATAAATTATTTCATTAGTTTCTTGGTTACCAAGTACTTTTTGTAAACTTGCAGAAATAGATGCATAATTTTCTGTCAGACTTCTTCAAGTACAATTGAAGGGGAACATATTATTTAACTTACCTCTATTACATTTCTATGCTACTACTTTCACCTTCCTTTATTAGCAGCCCCTTCCTCTCCTTGTCTGTCACCTTCTACCCCCTTTACATTCCTATGTTACCTGTCTTCACCCTTGTTTCTAAATTTCCCATTATCTTCCTTAAAATGGCAGCAGAAGATAATTGGTATTAACATGTGCTTTGAATATACAATTTGGTGCTGAGTAGGAGAACAAAAATCTCTGACTGGGTTGTCGCCATCAGAGCACACAGTCTGGGTAACTAATACCATGGTGGGTTTTTGTTTCATGCAAACCCAGTGTGCTTCCCACAGGGTGGCTTATTGTTGGAGCTGCCTTGACAACGCACGGCTTTTGTTTTAGTGGGGCTTACGTTACCCAAATCCGGCCAAGTAACTTCATTGTGGTTCCAGGGATCAGCTAACTCGCTGCTCAAGCAGGAGCATCAAAACTCTCTGCTGCTTTTCGCAATCTCACCTGTGCTTTGCCACTGACAGCACATTGGCCAATACAAAAACAGTCTGGAGGGATTGTCTCTGGTTCAGCACCCTTTTTTCAGTCCCCAAATTTTGCACAGTTGCTTTTATCATGTTTTGTTGGTATTTTGCGTGTCTGCACATGCACCCCTACAGCTGTCAGATACATGCAGCCTTGCCATGTCAGTGGGCTTGGAAGCTTCTGCTGTCAAAGGGAAGTGGAGTGGGTAACAGATGGACACAAGGAGACTGTGTGCTGGCTGTGTGTGTCCAGCATAAGGACATCAAAAGGGGATGAGGACACTTGATTTTAAGTGTTATGCTGCCTGTTCTCAGTGAGTGCCCTCCACCTTTTCAAGACTCACCCAAGTTTTCTAAGAACTGCCAGGGAACCATAGTTAGAACAATTGTTAAGTGATCTAAAAAAGAGGTGGAGGGACTTAGTATCTCTCCCTTTTTTTTCAACAGCTGGAAACTTAGAGAAGTTTCAAAATTGTAAAGGAGAGTGAGAACTGTCATTTCAGTACTCATAGTGCAGGTTTCCTAAACAGCTTATACTGTGCAGCTTATTTGCAGGCTGACTTAGCATGTTGGGCAAACATGGCTTCTGAGTTACTGACTAGCTTTATATAGCATGACAACCCATTGTGTTTAATTAGACACGTTTGGATTGTTCTGTTTTGTGAACTTGGACCACTTCCCGTAGGATGGCTTGTCTGGGAGCAATAAATCACTGTGACAACCCATGGCTTGATATAGGGGTTGTTGAAAACATGTTGGGTTATACTTTCCTCCCCGGGAGACCATTCTCATCATGGCTGCAGGGAAGCAGAGAACAAGTTACTTGGGAAGAGCAGCAGAGCCCCCTGGCCGCTCTTGGCAAGCCCAAACATGCCACTGCCAGCTGCTCTATCAGGACCAAGTAGCACCTAGGGAGACTGTCACTGGCTTGATGGACATCAGCCAGTCAAGGCTGCATATACTTTAATCTGTTGTGTTGCTTTTCACAGTCAAATGAACTGTCAAGGGAGAAGGAAAGCTGCTAGAGGAAAATTGTTCTCTTCTTTATCAGTGTGATCCTCTAGTTTTTCAGTATTGTCCTGACAGTTCTCAGTGCTCTCCATTTTTCCCACACTTCCCTGAGGCTCTAGATATTTCGGAAAGGTAAGATCTCAACCATGTCACATACTTTGCAGACAGCTTTTGACACCTTCAAAATAAAAGGGTTTTTGACAGGGATAATCAGGGTTGTTTTGGCAGGATTCGTGGCTGCTTGTCTTGTCCTGTTGCCAGGCTGAATACAGTTTGCATTCTTGAGGGCAGACTTCTCTAAGCACAAATTTCCAAATGAGGCTGGACTACCGTTCCCAAACCAGCATGGCCAATGACCCATGATGATGGTGAGCCAAGATTGGACAAATCAGCTCTAGGAGAGGTGTGGGCAGTTGGTAGACATCTGCGACTGCCACTCCCAGAAGATCCTGTCACCATGGCCAACGGTCAGGAATGCAGGGAACTGATGCTCACAATATCTGGAGATCCACCTGTTGCCACCCCTGCACTAGGGCATCTGTGAAACTGAACGTAAAATTTGGAGATGGTCATGGGTCCAACAACTCTGACTTTATGTTTTGCTACAGATGAGATCCCGGCTCTTCCCAACATCACTCCACTGTTCATCACCATTGATCCAGAAAGAGACGATAAAGAAGCCATTGCAAAATATATTAAAGGTAATATTAGCTTCCTTCCTTATTTGCTACTCTAGTGGCTCCCTTCGCCTGGCAGCCCTGACCAGAGAAGCTTTTGCCGCCGTGGAAGACCATCACTTGGGTCCTCATTGTTCATGTAATCTGACCTACCTGGCTTCTTTTTTGTTCCAAGAGTTTTCACCCAAGTTGATTGGATTGACGGGTACAAAAGAGCAGATCGATCAGGTGGCTCGAGCCTATCGTGTCTATTACAGCTCTGGCCCAAAAGATGAAGATAGTGATTACATCGTGAGTATGCTTTCTGCATGTAATTTTCCTACAGAGAAATAAGGCTGGGAGAGGCATCATTAGAGCAAGGCAACTCTGCAGCACAGTTTTAAACATTGCAATACCACGGCTGGATGAGTCAGGTAGGAGTTTTTCAGATAAGACTCTTCTGACCAAGTGATCAGAGAAGGGAAAGAGGATGCAAATGTTACCAAGCTGTGCAAATGAAGGGCATTCTGGAGAGCGGGGAGCAGCCAGACTGTAATGAAGTAATATTTCTGAACAAGGTGAGAGCAGTAGATCAAGACGATGAAGGTAACAGGCAGCTGTTGGCAGAGGCACTGGAGGAACATCTACATCATTCATAATAAAAGGGTTTTCCAGAAGGCACTATGATGGTTTGGCCTCCGGCTATTCCTGTTGGTAGACCAGGGAGCAGTTGGCTGAGAGATCCCTGCTTTAAAATGAGCCCAGGGAAGTTGGATGGTAAAATAACTTGGATGTCATCATTATTACTTTCCATTTATATAACCACTTTTTAAACTCTTGAGGAACCCAAGACAGCTTACAAAGCCCCGCTGTATCCTTGCAACAATATGTTGAGAGAATGTATAGCTGGCCCAAAGTCACCCAGAAAGCTTCATGGATGAGGGGGGAATAGAACTCAGATCTCCCAGGTTTCCAGTCCCACAATCTAGCCACCACTACTTTGATCTTGGTGGTGCTGCTTCTTAAGGTGAAGGATCCAGGCTCTTTTCATATGACCCTGTCTGGAAGGTGACATAAAATTCTAATTTGAAAAATGCAGGTGCACAGTCATAAGGATAACTTACTTGGGATGCAATTTGTATACAGGATATTAAAACAGCCATGCTTTGGCACAGTTTATCCAGGAGGGGGCACCAGACAGCAAATGACATATTACCTAACCTATTTAGTTTCACACAGCACTTAATGTTAGTGGAGATTTTAAGAACTGTTCCATTAAATACCACCACCCCAAAATGGCAGCTTTGTGTAGGTTTTACTTCCCAATTGACATAATGATGAAAAAGTGACACGAAATCAACATTCCATGCGTGTTGAATTCTAATCAACATGAGTTAAAAGTAGTGTCTGAAGTGGTTTGCTTGCTGCTCTTCCAACCCTAGAGCCGTTTAGGACTGTGCTGTGTTCCTCCTCTCCAGTCTAAATGGGTCACATCGGTAGAATGGCACCTCTGCTGTACATTGTCCATTACATGATGGGCAATCATGCTGTCTGAAGGAAGATGGAGGAGCGGGGCCCTTGCATATACCTGCTTCCAAGAGGAATTCCAGTACGTGGCCAGCGAGCTGTGATGGGAGGAGTAAATGCCCCCATGATGCTGCCTCTGTTACTAGACCCAGAGAAGCAGTCTTCTGTGAACGAATGGGGCTTGAGCACACTCACTGGGAAGGAGATGAGTGTAGGAGGAGACTGCTTTTTATGTGGAAAAAGCTGGCTATTAGGACTGGTCATCTTTGTACAGTCCTGGGCATCCCTAGTCTATCATTCACTTTTGGAGGAGGCTTGGTTTCCAGCAGGTTCCACCTTTCTTCAGGGGGACAGCTTTGTGGGGTTTCTCTGCTCTGCAGGGCTCTGCATTGCCTTCCCATGGGGTGTATTTGGAGCACTTTGTTTCCCCATTTGTCTAAGGTGTGTCCAAGGTGTTTATAGGCTGCTTGCAGAGATCTTTGGTTCAGGAAGTATTCTAGAGCTGGTGTGGCAATTTGATCAAGGGGCTGAGTTGCTGCTGAGCTAAAAGTACCCTGCTCAGCACCCCTCTTACATCTATTCTTTGTGCTTCCTTGCAGGTGGATCACACCATCATAATGTACCTTCTTGGTCCAGACGGAGACTTCATTGATTATTTCGGTCAAAACAAGGACAGCACTGAGATTGCAGCATCAATTGCTGGGCACATGAGAAGATACAAACACACCTAAAAGAGAAGCATTATGACTATGAAGGCAAGCTAGCTGCTAATGAGACAGGCATCCATGTTACTAACTAAAATACAACCAGTAATATCCCATGAAGATCTATGAAGCATTGTGCAAGTAATCCATCTTGATATCCTTCTTACTTGAATTTGCAGCTACAGCTGTAGGCATAATAGCCTAAGACTCAAAATGGGTTTCCTGAGGAGCTGAATATTATTCCACAAAAGTACAAAACTAAGCAGTTTTCTCTGAATGAGTGTCTGAATATGTTAAAGGCCTTTGGAAACAACATTGAGGTGATCCTAGTGAAAAGGCCATCACTTCTGGGTATTGATCAGAGGATTCATGTCTTTCCCTTCCTTGCAGTATCTTCTTGCCATGCTGAAAAGACACGTACAGAGAGATGGTAAACTGAGCAGTACTGAAGGCACAGTTCATGGGACTAGGCTTGTCTGACATCTTGATTATCATTCTACTAGAACCCATGACTGCAGCATCACTTCCAAGTCAACATTCCTTGTGGCCCTGCACCCTCTTGTCTTGGATTTTCAAAATGCCTAATACAGTTTAGGACAGCCTCGCCCAACCTGGTGCCTTCTATATGTTTTGGGCCAGTTTCCATCAGCTCTAGCCAGTATGGCCAGTGGTCAGGATTGTTGAGGGTTGAAACCCAAAATACATGGATGCCACCAGGTTGGAACAGGTTGATGTAGAAGCACTAAGTAACACAATAGGGTGGTAACTTTAAGCCTTTTATAACAGTGGGATTATTAATCAGGTAAAATTATGCTCGGTGTGCAGGAAATGGAATATTTTGAAAGAAACCTGTGGTCTCTTGAAATCTCGCATCAATTAAAGTGATTTTTTTCCCCTTTTAAATGTTTAAGTTGACTTTCTCCAGTGGTTTTGGTATTCATCAGATTTTAATTAAGAACAAAAATAAATGGCTGCAGAACATGATAAGCAGTGCTAATAAGATGTCGTGCAAGTTTAATCTGAAAACTTTTCACTGGTCACTCTGAAAAAATGACACTGAGCCTTGAAGTCAGCATGCTAAAATAAATATGTGAGCCTTTAGCCTGTCTTTGAAGTGGTGAAAAGTTTACTTTTGACAACTTCCAAGTTATAAAATGTGTATCATATTCATAATGTGTTGAAAATGCAAACTTGGAGTAATTAGATTTTTTTAAAAACATTGGTAAACAATATCTGCTGCTACCAACTAGTAGTAGACTGCTGTGAATCCCCATGGCCGGCTTAAGTGGGCATTTAAATTTTAATTGTTTTGACAGACTTGGGTTAAATCTAGCATAAATCCTGCTTACAGTAGACCCATTGAAATCCTTGGGATGTTGGGGAAGGAGTTGTTCCTTTGGCAGATTTTTTTCATGAGGCATTGAAAGAAGATTCCCATGGAACTAAAATACCTTCTCTGTATCTGAGATGCCAAATAGATTAAATTAAACTTTGCCTTTTTTTCTAAGTGTCCACCAAGAATTTCCTTGGGTCAGTTTGCACCAAGGGCTTTTGGGACTTTGCTAGAATTCAGCCTTCATTCTCAGCTGTTAAGGATTGTTCAATGCAGAGGCAGCTATTTCCTCTACATCAGCCTGTGTACATGTATGTTTGAGAGGGAGAATGAACAGATTTTGATTTATAATTTTTTACTTTTCAGCTTTTTAGGGTGTATGTGTGCATGCCAAAATCCATTACATATTGTATTTCTGCTGAAGAGCGTTAATATCAACATATTCAAAGTTTTTGTACTATTTAAACCAAATACATGATTAAGAGTACAAAAGCTTAAGTTGTTTTCTGGATTACCTTGTTTGCGGTGCCTTCAAGTCTTGGTCTCTGGCTATAGATTCCTTGATGTGTAGTACCCAATTATTTTTGATTTTGTTCAAAATGATCCTTTGTAGCTTGTTGTAGCTTTTTCTAAACTCTTTATGAATTTTTAAATATTGGGAACATAAGACAGTTATCCATAGGGTCTGATTTTAGCAGTCATGAGAACATTAAGTGGCCTTTTAAGTTGTCACGATCAATTTTGGGAGAGGATACAAACTGCAACAACTTCCAGTTCAGCAACTAGACATGAAAAACAGACCCTGAACTAAAACAAAGTTGTTTTGTTGGCAGCTCCTTCCAACAGGAACTTTTAAAGCTTAAATGAACAAAGAAAGGACAGCATGGAGGGAAGACAGAAAGGTTTACTTACGCAACAAGGAAAGGCAATGACCTGTAAGTGTCATTCTTCAAGTGGCCATCTGTGCATTCACGCATGGGCTTTGCCGTGGAGCACAAGGCCTCAGTCAGAGAAAACTTACAAAGCTCGGTGCCATGGAGTGGGCGGGAGCCCACCCCACCCCACCCCAATCCAGGTAGCATAAGGGGGGGGCCTCCCGCCCAGTCCCTCAGTTGCCTGAAGACCGCACTGTCCCCGGTGTGCGAGAAATTTGAAGAAGCTGTGAAGGACACCGAGGTGGCCGCGCCGTGCCCAAGCCTGTGCAGGGTGACGTGCTGATGATAGCCAGCGGGGCGGACAGCGGGTTGTGTGAATGCACAGATGACCACTTGAAGAACGACAGTTACAGGTAAACAACCTGCCTTTCTTCTTCGTGGTCTCTGTGCAATCACACACATGGGCGACTAGCAAGCTTACAGTCCAGGAGGAAAGGGCTGTCGTCACCGAAGGATTGAAGAAAGTGCCGCCCTGCCGAATGCACAGTCCTGCCTGGCGTGGACATCCAGCTGGTAGTGGCGGACGAAGGTTGAGGGCATGGACCACATTGCAGCTTTGCGGATCTCTTGGACACCAGACCGAAGTGCAGTGGATGTGGCTTGTGTGTGCATAGAATGAGTGCGTGGGTGGTCGGGGGCGGGGGGGATCTTTGCCATTTCTTTGGTGAGAGACGGTGTTGCAGACCCGTCTCAATAGTCTTTCACTGGAGACAGGCTCTCCCACCCTGGGGCCTTCATAATAACACACGAAGAGGTGGTCAGAGTAACATAGTGACTCAGTCCAGGCCCTGTAGAAGGTGAGGGCCCTCCTGACATCGAGGAGGTGGAGCGTGGCCTCAATGGGGGTAGATGGGTTGGGGAAGAAGGCAGGATTGATGTGGAAGGGAGAAGTCACCTTGGGAGCAAAAAGTGGGTCAAGGTGGAGGATGACCTTATCCCTATGGCATGTGGTGAAGGGGGCGTTGATCTGCAGGGCAGCCAGTTCATTGTCATGGCGGGCTGATGTGATGGCTACGAGGAACGCAGTCTTCCAGGAGAGTAGGCAGAGGTCTGACGTAGCCATGGGTTTGAAAGGCCTCTGCGAGGGATTGTGGGGCCGTGGAGAGGCTCTGGAGGGAGTGTGAGCCTGGACTGGGCGAGGGGGCAATGTTTCAGAGGCCCCTGAGAAAGCGGTGTACCATGGTGTGGGCAAACACACAGGACCCTTGGATGGGTGGGTGAAAGTGCGAGATGTCTGCCAGGTGGACCCTTAGAGAATAGGAGGGGGAGGCCCACAGCAAAGCGGGTCTGCAGATAGGCCAGAATGTGCTCAATGGTGGCAGAGGAGGGGTCGAGGCCCTGTGCTGTAGTGGGACCCACAAAGGCTTTCCATCTCACCAGGTAGGAGTGACGGGTGTAGGGTTTGAGGGTGGTCTGCAGGATGAAGCCAACCACAGGACGAAGGGTGCCATAGGGATTGGTCATGGAGCCATCCTCCAGGCCATCAGGTGGAGGGTCCTGATGGTGCAGTGAGGTGCAGGACCCTGCCCTGATCCTGGGACAACAGGTTGCATGGGGTGGGGAGGTGGATGAACATCCTGGACAGGTGGAGAAAGAGGGGAAGCCAGGGCTGCCTTGTCCACTAGGGGGTGACTAGGATGCAGTCAGCCCTGTCTCTCTGGAGTTTGGCTACCACCCTTGTGATCAGAGGGAAGGCAGGGAAGGAGGTGTAGAAGAGGGCCCCTTCCCACCTGAGGGGAAAAGCATCCCCCATGGGCCCCTGGCCTTGCCCCACTGTGGAGCAGAAGTGGTTGCGTTTGGCATTTGTGGGGGTGGTGAAGAGGTCCACTTCAGGGTGCCCCATTCCTCACAGAGTGTGCAAAAGATGGGAGGTTCCACTCATGCATGAGGGAGAGGGAACGTCTCACAGAGTCCGCTGGGGTGTTCAGATGTCCTGCAACATGGATGGCTGCGATGGTGATGCCCCTCTCGATGCACCAGTGCCAGATGGAAGTTGCCAGGGTTGAGAGGTGGATGGAGTGGGTCCCTCCTTGTTTGTTCAGGCAGTAAGTGATGGTGTTGTCTGTGGCTACCTGGATGTGACGCCCTGAAAGGATGTGAGGACCTTCCGGACTGCTAGCATCTTCAGCATGTTGGTGAGAGTGGCCTTGTCCAGTTCCCAGTGGCCCTGTGCACACATGTCTGTACAGTGGGCGCCCCAGCCTGTGTTTAATAGGTCTGTTATAACTGGTGGATGGCTGGGGGGGGGCAAGGGAGGGCATGCCCATGGTGAGGTTGGTGGCGGTGCCCCACCAGTGGAGAGACGCTCTGACCTCTAGGGGTGGGGACAGGAGGGTGGTGTGGGGGTCTTTGTCCACTGCAAAGGCTTCCACAAACCATAGTTGAAGAGGCCTCATGAGAAGCTGTGTGAGCTGCAGCACTGATACTGTGGTGGCCATGAGGCCCGGCAGCCTCTGGATGGTGTGGGCAGTGGAGAGTGTTGGCGGATGTGGCCAGCAAGGTGAGGGTCTATGCCTATAGTTGAGGGCAGGAAGGCCTTGGCAGGGGTGGAGTCCAGGCGAGCCTCTATGAAGAGGATGGACTGTGTTGGGGAAAGAACAGATTTATCATAGTTGAAGAGGAGTCCCAGGTCCCCCAGGAGTGGCTGCAAGGAGCCAGTTGTCCAGGTAGGGGAAAATCTGAATGCCTTGGAGCCTAAGGTGGGCACAGACGATGGCCACCCATTTGGTGAAGACATGGGGCTGTGGCCAGGCCAGGGGAAGACAGAATTGGAAGGCCTTCTGGTCAATTTGGAAGTGCAGGGGGAGGACGCCTTGGAGAGTGACCATTCTAAATCTCTTGGGGGTGATGAACTTGTTGACCCCCAGAGATCCAGGATCAGCCTGAGACTCCTGTCCCACGTAGGCACCGTGAAATACATGGAGCAGAAGCCTCTGCGTGCCAAGGGAGGAACACGCTCTATTCCCCGTTTGGCCAGGAGGGCCTGGGCTTCCACCCAGAGGGTGGGAGAAGATGGTGTGGTCTTGATGCAATCTAGGGGCAGCAGAGCATCGAATTTTATTCTGTATCCCCTGTGGATGATGGATAGGACCCAGGAGTCTGAGGTGATGTCTTGCCAAGCCAGAAGGAACTGGGCCAGATGGTCTTTGAAGCAGGCAGGGGTGGGGCTGCCTGGACTGGGGCATCAGCGCCTGCTCCTGGTATCCTGGCGCTTGGGTGGGAGCCTCTGGTGGGGTTCGGAGCCCCGCCTCTTGTTGATGGGTAGTGCCCAGGGGTGCGTAGTGCAGCCAAGGAATGGGTGGCAATCGGGGGCTGCGGTGGCTCCTTGCCACCTTCTCTGCCCAAACCCCATGTGCTTGGCAGTGGTGTTTGCCTTGTGGAGGGAGTCCATGTTCCCATCCATGTGGGCATTGGAGAGCCACTGAAGGGCAGGTCTTCAATGCAGGCCCAGGTCTTGGGGGGCAGGGAGGCAGAATGCAGCCAGGCATAGCGCTGGAGAACTATGGCACCCATCATGGCCTTGCTGTCACAGTCGATGTGGTGTCAAGCTGCCTCAAGCCGGAACTTGGAGAGGCCTTCTGCCTCTCCGTGTACAAGGCGGACAGTGTCCTGGAGGTGGTCTGGGAGCTGATCTACCATGGCACCCATCTTCTCCCATAGGAAGAGCTGGTACCTGGCTATAGTTGCCTCATAATTGGAGACCCTAAAAACCAGGGCAGCAGCCGTATAAACCCCCCTGGCCATGATGTCTAGGCAGTAGCCCTTTGTCCACTGCGGCAGACTGGTCCCTCTGGGGCGTACCTGCATCGACTCCACAATGATGGGGTTGGGCTTGGGGT